TTATTACATGCAATGATTGTCATTCTCGATTATTCAAAGATACAAGTCTGAATGATGATAATCTAAAAATCATGATATCAACATTAAATAATCAAGAATATAATTTAAAAATACCAAAATCACTTATAATTAATTTATTAAATGTAGATAAAACATCTTCAATAGAAAATACTGATATTTTTTACAATGAAAGTAGTTTAAATAATCTTCTTTCAACCGATGTTCAGTTTACGTATAGTGAAATTACTGGCCCTATTACCGATGTAGCAATATATATCCAACACTAAACCAGTTCGTCAACGAAATTGTACCAATAAAACGATTGTCGAAATTTTTAATAACTTCTATCTTTTTTTTTATAAATAAAATCACCATAATAATTTTAGAAATAGTTAACAAAAAGTTGAAACTTCAAACTAAATAATTACTAAATAATTTAAACATAGATAAAAAATATCACACTACTACTTGCTTTTTCTATTTTACTTCAATCTAAATAAAAATATACTATATTTTATTCGAACAGTCAAATATTTATTAGTTTCCACAAAGTCAAATAAAGTACTTTCGAATATCGACTACTTAAACTTGATATATTTTGAAATTTTTTTGACATGACCATCTTTGTTCCATCTTATTCTTCATACAGACTTCGTATTAACTATACAATGCATGAAGCCAGAATACAATGCTTAATTTGAATGACAAAAAAAATGAATAAACAACCAATTAAAAATCAAACTGATAAAAGCTCAAAAGTAAATAGTAATATAAATAAAACATTAACTGAAACTAATTGTTAGGGTATATCAAGATCTATGACGTAAAATTGTTCACAATCAAGGCCAAAGTTATTTTACGAACCCATAAATCTTCAGAAATACTGAAGACGGTAAATTTCGAACACAAGCTTGCTGATTATCACATGCCTTAAACGCTCCCACATTCTGTACTCAAACGGTAGTATTATCAGAACTATAACAACACCTATAGAACAATTCTAATACCCACCAACATGTTATGTTTCAGCAACAAAAGAAAACAAAACAGCGAAACGTGATCAGATATTTTGATGCGAACTTACGTGAGTTCCACATTTTTAGCCCCAAGGGGGCTGCGCTGATAAGCTTTTTCTATTATTTTTCATACTATATTTTGAAAACATTGTAATATTTGTGTAGAACATTGCTCAGAAGGTAGCAACATGTCATTTGATAGAGTAAGTGATGCTCTTCAAAATGCACTAGTTTTCGTGTATTTTATGTGTCATTTCATGATTGAATTTATTAAAAATAATGAATACTATATCTAATTATAAGTGAGCATACTCTAAAAATCGTATTAAAACCTCACCAAACTCGTTGCTTTCCAAATAATAGTTATACAGTTTTGTTCAGTTTTTTATGCTCTTTCGAATGGTATATTTGGAATTTAAAAACAAACCAAAATTTCATTTACTAATTCCTAATTAGTATTAAATAATAATTACAAATTAATTAGTTAATTAACTTCAATATAAATAGAAGTGCTTTATATCAAAATATGGCCCATCAAATTCTGTATCGAATGGTATATAGAAAACCCTACAGATGTTGCAAAGTAACGTAAAAATAAGCCATATACTAAAAATTACGAAATGTTTTTTCTACTCTTTTTTTACAGTGTTTAGTATTTTGGCTATAATATTGTCATTACTCAATGAAAATTAAAAAATCTTTTCATCAAAATGATCAGTGAAAAACGCTCTACAAAACTACATATAACAGAAAAATTTTAAAATATTCTTATCATTCATTTATGTACAAAAACAAAAAAGACCAGGCTTTTTACGGGCCTCACTATATGAATCAAGATCAACAACAATGAAAATGTCTGGTAAAAACATAACGAAAACAAATATTCTTCAGCTGAGAATATATGATGTCACCTGATATCATATGATATATCATATGACATGAACCCTCGAAGTATAGAAAAGAAAAAAACATTTGATGTATGAAGCTGAATAGAACCACCAAAGAGAATCACATATATATATACATATATAAACGACCTTTGTGACATCAAACGACAGGAAAGAGAACGATATAGACAGAACCATATAAAGTTTGTATTCAGATAAGCTAAATCTAAGACATTCTCTTTCATACTCTTTTCAATACATCACGTCAACTTATTTCTTATTTTTCCATGGTTTCATATTTGAAATTTTCTATTAATTGTTTTACCACGTTCTAAAAAAAAGATTATTCCATTTACTCATTACCTAACATAATATACTATAATAAAAAAGAATGGATTCGTATACGTATAGATGACTTTAATAATTTTGAAGGAAAACTAAACTTCTGATTTCTACTTTTCTAATATATATTTATAGTATCATAACAATGATATTGAAATCAAATAATTATATAAATTTTGAAAATTTCATGACAAGTAAATTTGTGATATTCAGTTTGTTTCGAATATTTTGAGTTGATGAGTGGAATATATATGAGGTCTGCTTATGTAGGAATCTTTCAAACTTTATTAGGAAGTCAATTTCGGTACTAATTTGCTGTTATTTTTAAATAAGACGAAATAAACAAATATGTTGCGACCACCTTACATCGTTGTGTTTAAAAGTGACATCGAAAAGTAGACTTCTAATTAAAGTAGATTGAAACAGTGTCGTAAATTTCTAATAAGAACAATCAGAAATCAGCGACACAAGTTTATTCAAAACCGGTTTCACTTTGACATTTGCCACGCCCTCATAAAACTCAAGTAATTAAAACTAAAATAAAAGACGAATTAATTCGGATTATGGTTTGATTAAAGGAGAACACGTTTCTATCTTTTTTTGTTTATTGTACTAATTGTAACGTTATCTCCGTCATATAATGCATGAAAATGATCAAATAAGATTAAAAATTTTCTGTATTTAATTAAAACAGGTTATGCTTGTCTGAAGACTCGCGCAGCTCGTTCTCGTAAAAACGATAAGTTTTTGCTACCAGGAAACTATTTATTCAAACAATTTCAAAAACCGACTTCAGATTTAAGTTTCTCGATCTTGATAACCGTTCGATCAACTCTTATAAAAAATATTTCTTGTTTTGTAAAAAAAATGGTCCTTTGTGTGAAAAAAGAATCCTCAAAAAAAAATCAAAAACCAACATCAGATTCGAGTTCCTTGATCCCGATTACCCTTCGGTCAACTCTGATAAGAGGAGATTACTTTTATATCTTTACTGAAGTCTTAAAATAGAACCTTAGTACTGCTCATCGAGTTAATCGGCCGCAGTCTGGTCAAACTACTACTCCCACTGCCCAACTAACAAATATAAAAGCTTACGTGCCCATAGGCCATCTGTCCAGAGTTATAGGTATTTTACTGCAATTTTAGCCTATCGCATGGTATATATAAATAAATCAAAATCACGGCATTTCGACCTGAAATTTTGCCCATAGTGAGGTCTATATGGGACTAGAATACCCTGAAAACTTCAGCTCAAAAGAATGTTTTCTTCTCGAGATATTAAAGTCTCGAAAAATCACTCATATCCCACGAAAGATACTAAAATTTTCTGTTTTTTGAGACTTTAATATAGAGATGGTGGCTTAGCATTAATATGAAAATAATGCACAGGTTTATTATTGTAAAGGAAACATTTAATATCGATTTATGCATTAAATTAGCATTAGTACCACCGATACTACTTTTAATTCCGAAAATTCAGCATTAATTAACTTTCGTTGAGAAATAAATCAATGCATTATTTTCAGTTTTAATGCTAAGCCACCACCTCTACTTTAATATCTCCAGAAAATATTCTTTTCAGCTGAAATTTTCAGGGTATTCTAGTCACCAATAGACCAGTTTGTGGGCAAAATCTCAGGTCGAAATTCCGTCATTTGATTTATTTATACATATCATACTATATGCTGAACTTTCAGTAAAATGCCTATTATTCTGAACAGAAGGCATATGGGCACTTATCCTTTTGGGATTTTTCATACGTCACTGGTATCTACTTTATGCACGGAGCCCGAACTTCAGAGCGATCTGACAGTTGGGGATGTTCCATCGTGAGTTTTGGGAAAGCGGTCATCTACGCCACTTAGACATGTACTCACCATCATAGCGCACTTACAAGTCCTGCTTCATATACTGGTCTATCTCTGTGTAAACTTACGCAATCCATTTGAAGTGCTATAAAACGTATCTTAAAGTAGTATTTAAATATATAAAAGTAGAAACTGCAATTTGAAATACTCCAAGATATTATCGCTATCAGAGCTAGGACAAGTACAAGTACCGCATATATAAGTACTATACTTGTACTTGAAGACGAGTACTTAGTATTTGTGATGAGGTGTCAAAATGTCGAAAGTAAAATGTCGACAATGAACACGTCGAAATATGAAAAATGTCGACATGAAAACATTTCGGGATGTGGGTAAATATCATTCTATATATTATTGTCATACCTACCCACACTCTCTCTCTTCCCTTTTCGCTTACTACTTTTTTGTTGTTGTTTAAGTATCAAATCTCTCATCAAGCATCCATCAACGTGGTCCTGAGAGATATGAATGTGCCGACTCCTGCGTTTTTTTTACTTGCGTTGAGTGCCATCACGTTGCTCGGTTTACTCGCTCTCAGTAACAGCAAAATGCTGAAATTCATCACTAATAAATATAAAGAAACTGGTAGAAGAGAAAATCCTTATCATCATAGTGCAGATACCAAGCTTTTACTAAACTTTGAACCAAAGCGACGTGTATATCACGATCGAAAAGCCTCATCAAGATTTGAATCTGTCGAAACTTGGCGAGATGCTCGTTTAATAAAAGATACATCAAGAATTCGACACATTCCTCGTCGTAAACATTTCCGAGCACTAGACGACACAAGCAGCACCAGTTTTGGTTTACAACAGATCTTGGTCTCGGAATACCCTGAAGGAGCCGAAAAGATCTTCTTTATGATCAAGACCGGAGGCACCGAACTATGGAAAAAGCTACCAGTTCATTTCTTTGCTTCATTACCTAAAATGCCTAAATTTGGGCTTTATTCAGACGCTCCCGGGTCCATTGCTGGATACGAAGTGATTGACTCGTTGGCTAACCTTACCGAGTCGATACGAAATTCTGAACTATTTGAAATGTATCGGTTGCACCGAGATATTCATGATAACCATGGCATTTATGATTATTCTGAAACCAAGTTGAACAACGCGTGGGACTTGGATAAGTTTAAGAATATTCCTATTCTTTTGCATGCATATGAAAACTCTAACTGTGATTGGTTCTTCATGGTGGACACAGACTCGTACGTCATGGTCGAAAGTCTAGTCGATTGGCTCAAAGGACGAGATCCAAACAAACCTTACTACCACGGGTCTATTATTAATATTGGGGTGCCATTTGCTCATGGTGGTAGTGGTATTCTAGTGTCACGAAAGGCTATTGAAATGACTGTGGCCAGCCACCGTGAATATCTTGAAGAATATGAACAACGCGCAACCAAGGATTGTTGCGGTGATAGAGTGTTAGGGCTCATGTTGTTTGAAAAGGGCAAAATCATTGGCACTACTGGTGAGGCCTCTGACAAGCTACGCCCATTCCAAGGGAACACTCACTGGGATGTGGAAGTGACTGAGATGCAGTGGTGTTTGCCAGTTTTATCTTTCCATCACGTGTCTCCTCATGACATTGAACTGTTATGGGAATATGAACAAATTAAAGAACGCGAGGGCTCACATGTCACCTACGGTGATATCTATCGAGACTTTTACCAGCCTTATATCACTGATGTGATTGAAAACTGGGACAACAATGCACGAGATGTTCAAATTCATAAAGAAGAAGGTAAACAAGAACCTTCCAGTCCTGCTTGGAAGAGCTTTGAAGAATGCAAGGCTACTTGTGAACGGGACGAAAAGTGCTTGACGTATCGGTACTTGCCAGAAGAAAAGTACTGTGGGATTAGTCATTCTATTAGATTAGGACGGCCAACGCACAAGCACCTAGAGTTCCGATATGACCAGGACCACAGAGTTAAGAACAACCAGCATGCCAAGTCCGGGTGGATGATTCAACGAATCAGAATCATTCGAAAGGCAAGCACGTGTGATTATTTGTCCAACAACCCTGATGCTGATAGCACCCCAGATGGGTCTGATCAAGATCGATATGAGGGATGGTATTTGCGAATCCGAAAGCGTCGAGAAAAAAGAGGACCAGGATTGCACCAAAAATAAATATATATAAGACAGTCAAAACGTTTTGCAAACAGTTGTCTAAATTTGGGTGTTGGTGTGAGCGTTTGGGTGGATGTGCGTATGCGCGTTGGTGTGGGTGTGAAGTGGGTTTTCTTTCATTCATCACCCACACCCACACCATCTAGTTATTCCTGATGATGTGTTCAGTTTGGACACGAAAGTGGCCTGACCAAGTGTGACGGAATCACGTTTTTTCACCTTGTATTTTCAGTATCTCACTAAAGGGAAGTCGAAGAAGGCCCAAATTTATACATATTATATAAGCTAGTTTCCTCTGCAGATGTTGCAATTTTCATGCGGTTTCAAGTTTCCATAGTTATTTTATGATCGAAATATAGGTACGTGACGGAATCATCTAAAACGGATTTGAGCTTTGAGTGTTGTTCAAAGAATTCAAATACTTAGCTCAGCTATAAATACAACAGAAAAACTTTCTATAGAGAAGTTTTAACTCAGATGACGACTTATATATAAGACAAAAGAAAATCGGGCAATTGCACAATACTATCTTTATAACCGAAAAAAAGTGTCGTGACGGAATCACATTTTTGTTACGGAATCACTTTTGAGAAATGACCATATTTTTTATCTTCGATTTTCTTGAGCAATTTAACGATAGTTCCTTAGAATACACAATCTAATGCTACGCGATGAGAATTGATGACAAAAAACTCTAGATCACGATTCTCATAATACAAAACTTCCTTATTTGGGAGTATCAGAATGTGCTGGATTGAGTCTTCAAACGAGAGAACGTTTTCAACTGTCACATCGGTTTGAATTTGTTCTCTGTAAATAACACAGATCTGAATGCGATACGAAAAACTCTAGAAGAATAAATTTTCGTAGGTCTCCTGTCTAGAGTTATAGACATTTTACTGAAATTTTAGTATGAGATATGAAATATATTAAGAAATTCAATGATGGTATCTCGACCCAATATTTTGCCTGTCGATAACTCCACTAATCTGTAGAATGTTCAGGAAATCTCAGCTCTAAAGAATGTTCCGTTACCAAAATACTAAAGTCTCAAACAACAAAAACTTCCAGTATTAATCTGTGAGATATAAGTGATTTATGGGACTTTAGTATGTTGGTAGCGGAACATTCTTTTAACCTAAGATTTTCTGAACATTCTACAGATTAATGGAGTTGCCGACAGGCAAAATACTGGATCAAAATACTATGATTGAATTTTTTAATATATTTCATATCTCAAGCTAAAATTTCAGTTAAATGTCTATAACACTAGACAGGAGGCCTATAAAACTTATTTCTCTAGGCTTTTTCTTACCTTATTAGAATCTTGAGGGTGTGGGTGGGTGTGGGTGTGGGTGTGGGTGGGTGTGAGCGTGGGTGTCGGTGGGTGTGGGTGTGGGTGTGGGTAGGTGTGGGTGTGGGTGTGGGTGGGTGTGGGTGTGGGTGTGGGTGGGTGTGGGTGTAAGTTTGAGTGTGGGTTTTATTCCTGTTTCGCTCCCTAACTCATACCCACACCCATACCCACACCCTCACAGGGACTTCTAGCAGTGGGATAAAATCTGATAATTTTTCACTATGTAAGCGTAAAATAACGGATCGGAATCGGAGCTAAGGAGGGTGTGTGTGTGGGTGTGGGTGTGTGTGTGGGTGTGGGTGTGTGCCTACTAAATGTTCACACACCCATACCCATACCAATACCCACACCCTCAGACACGCACACTCACACCCAAACCCACACCCACCCACCCACACCCACACCCACACCCACACCCACACCCTCGTCTGTTCACCGATGTAGCTGATCTCATACTATCTTTTCATTTTTATCTTTGTGGAATGAATAGTATAAATAAACCTTCCAACTATCATAAGTTTCAACGTAGAAATGATATTCCGTATAATATTCAAACAAATGCTACTAGAATATTCCTTCAAGTATTCCATTAATTGTAATGTCCTTTTATTTATTAAATAACACATTACGATCCGCACAAGATCCAGTCACCGGCAACAAATGCACACTCATACTATTGACCATTTTCTCCAACTTGGAAAAATACTTTAAAAACCTTAGCGAGTTTTAGAAACCTCGAAAGACCAAAACCCCTACGAAAAAAAAGTTTAGAAAAAGCGAAAACGCACCGAGCCACGGAAAAACCTCACCGAATGTGAAACCGGGAAAAAACATAAGAAAAAAAGCATATACGAAATAAAAAGCAAAAAAAAACCTAACCAAATGGGAAACAGAAAAAAAAAAAAGAATTGAGAAAAAGCAAATACGAAACAAAAAGCAAATAAAACTCACCGAATCAAAACACAAGACAACTCTAGCAAAGCATTGAAAAATACTTTCAATTGCTAATACTGATTCAGTTAACGAAACCGCTTATTGAGCCGCGGCAGTTTGCATAGCCGTTGCAGTCTAAGCAGCTGCCGCAGTTTGTGTTGCCGTAGCAGTTTGTGTAGGTGTAGCGGTTTGCGTAGCTGTGGCAGTTTGAGTTGCGGTTGCAGTTTGAGTAGCTGTGGCAGTTTGAGTTGCGGTTGCAGTTTGAGTAGCCGTGGCAGTTTGCGTGGCTGTTGCAGTTTG